AAATCTGTGATCTTTCTTGCCAAGAGGTAAAATTGCTTTCCAGACCAAATCACCAACCGCCAGATTTTTACCTTTTACTCTCTTGTTGTAAGACTTTGCAATTTTGAGTTTTTGAGCTTGCAATCTATCCAAAGCTATCAAACGTGAGTCTTCAAGGTCCTCAAGCTCAAGCATCATGGCCTCATCGTATTATCCAGATTGGAGATTATGTTGAATCACCACCCTTAAAGACTTGGCTGTTAGCTCCATTGGCAAGACTGCGTCATGGCCATATGTCAAGGCAAAAGGTGTCATTTTGGTTGAACTCCTTTGTGAAGTTCTATAAGCCCACAGTGTTTCAGACAATAATTCCTGCCAGCGTCTGGGATTGTCATCCACCATTTTTTCAAGCAAATTAATCACCACCTTGTTAGAAGCCTCCGCTTGCCCATTAGCATGTGCATAATGAGGAGTAGAATTTAACAGACGGAAACCCATTTCCTTTGCAAATGCCTCCACTTGATGGCTGACAAAAACTGTGCCTTGGTCTGTTGTAATTGTTTTTGGCAGACCAAATCTGCGAATAATGTCCTCTTTGATGAACTTGATTACATCAGATTGGTCTACCTTCTTTATTGGTTTAGCCTCCACCCATTTGGTAAAATAATCCGTTGCCACTATAATAAATGAATAACCTTTTGATGAAAGATGATACACCTTACCAATTAAGTCAATAGCCCAGCCTCGAAATGGCTATGGTTTCACAATAGAATTAAGTTTAGAGGCTGGAACTCTTTGAAGTGGCCCATGGATCTGACAAGATTTGCAGCCCTTAGCATAAGCAATACAGTCTTTCAGGACAGACGGCCAGAAGAAACCATGTCTGCAAATTAACCAGCGCATCTTGATCCCAACCTGATGTGCTCCACAAATCCCATCATGGACATCAGACAGCATCTGGAAACTTTCATCTGGACCCAGACAACGCAACAGTAGTTCATCATTGCCTCTCCTATAAAGTACATCCTCAGTCAAGACATAATTGAGAGCTTGCATTTTGGTTTTCCTAGATACCTTAATGCTTTGATCCTTAAGGTACTGAATAATTGGAAAGCGCTAGTCCGTCTGGGTAACATCAATGCTGCAAGTGGAAACAGTCATGCCACGTTGATGAATTGATGGCAGACTGCGTTTTTCAATTATTACAACTTTCTGCATTACACCTTCAGGAATTCGCAGACCTGAAGCAATCTGAGCCATTTCATTAGCTTCATAGTTCTGGTCTCTAGGCACATGTCTGATGGACACGTCATCAAATTCTTCCAGCAATTGCACAGCCAAGGCAAAATAAGGGGCTAAAGCAAGGCTAGTACATTTGTACTCACTAGACAATTGCTTCAAAACTAGCTGTGAATCCCCTATAACCTCAACCATAGATACTTTAAGCTCCACCAACATCTCAAGACCAATAATCAAAGCTTCATATTCTGCTTGATTATTTGTGCAATTAAAATCCAGCTGGAAAGACATCTGTGTTTTCAGCCCAGACGGGGAAATTATCATGACTCCAGCTCCAGACATGGTTTCTGTACTGGATCCATCAAAAATAAGTTTCTAGGGAACTAAACTTATTGAAAACAAGTTAATCCCTTTTTCAAACAAGTTAATCCCTTTTTCTTCATCTGCCTCCACGTCCAGACATGGATGATCTGCAAGAAAGTCTGCCAGTGCCTGCCCTTTGACAGCCCTCTGTGGTATATACTTCAAATTAAACTCAGACAAGGCCAGAATCCATTTACCTATTCGGCCTCTTAACAAAGGGCGGGACAACATATATTTGACAATATCAGTCTTGGCAACCACATACACCTCAGAATAAATCAAATAATGTCTTAATTTTATTGCAGCAAAAAAGAGAGCAAGACACAACTTTTCGACCGAAGAGTATTTCACTTCGGTCTGGGTCAAACATCGACTCAAGTAATACACAGCCTGCTCCTGTTTTTTATCATTTTCTTGCGCCAGCAGACATCCTATGGACTCGTCTGCGGCGGATATATACAAAATTAAAGGCTTATTTTTCACAAGCGGTACAAGTACTGGTGGTCTGGATAAGTACCGCTTTATCATATCAAAGGCAGACTGGTAGTGTTCTTCCCACTTAAAATCCGCCTTAGATTTGAGTTTCAACAGAGGAGAAAAGACTTTGGTTTTCCCAGCCAAGTTAGAAATGAAACGTCTTAAGAAATTAACTTGGCCAAGAAATCTTTGCAACTCCTTCTTGTTTTGTGGTGGTTTCACCTCAATCATAGCCCTGGCTTTGTTCTTGTCAACCTCCAGACCACACTCATGCACCAAGTACCCAAGGAAGTTACCAGCAGACACTCCAAAGGCACACTTTAGTGGGTTCATTTTCAAGCCATGTTGCCTCATCCGCTCAAAAGACTTCCTCAAATGAACCAGGTGGTGTGCTTCCCCATTTGATTTCACCACAACATCATCAATATAAATTTCCATGAATTTACCAATCATATCATGAAAAATTGAATTCATGGCTCTTTGATAGGTGGCTCCAGCATTCTTCAGACCAAATGGCATCACAACCCATTCAAAAGTTCCAACAGCACCTGGGCATCGAAAGGTTGTCTTAGGAACGTCTGCGTTTGCAATAAAAATTTGGTTGTACCCACTATGACCATCCATGAAAGATAGAATTTTGTGACGGGCTACTCCATCAATCAACAAGTCTGCAATTGGCATAGGATACTCATCCTTTGGTGTAGCTAAATTTAAGTTTCAAAAATCAACACAGACTCTTAATTTTCCATTCTTTTTCAGCACAGGCACGACATTTGACAACCAGTCTGCATGCCTGCATGTCCGAATGAACCCAGCTTTTACCAGCCGCTCAATTTCTTCTTTCACCTTCAAAGTGATCTCTGCAGACATGCGTCTGGGTGGCTGTTTATACGGTCTGAATCCTTCTGCAATTGGCAGTTTATGTTCCACCAATTTTCGATCCAGACCTGGCATTTCTGAGTAATCCCAAGCAAAACAATCTTTAAATTCATGCAAAAGTCTGACAATTTCATCTCGTGTCTGCGGCTCAAGAGAGCCGCTGATAAATGTTACCTTTGGTTCACTTTCAGACGCTAGATTGATCTCCTCCAGTGGGTCTTGAACTTCAGCTTTTAAGTCATCCAACTTGGCTGGGGCAAGATCCAGCTCCTCCAAAGTTATTTCATCACCTCGGTCTGCCTCCTCACTTTCATGAACAATTTCAGATCTGTCTACTTGAACTGCTTTTTCAGCAAAATAGGCCGCTAATTTCTTTGTTATCTCCTACACGGCCTTTTCTCTTTCCTGTCTCAGACGAGCTTGCTTCATTAGATTTCTTCAATTTTTAGTTTCCCCTTCGGCCTATAAGGAATTATTGTTGTTGGCCGAAGAAGTTCATCACAAACTTCCTCCACAGCAAGCTTAGACAAAGACAATCTGCTGCATGTTGTTATCCCAATCGGTTTCCCATGTCTATCCATCCCAAAAAATCGAATGGTACCAATGTTTTCTTCATAATATCTAGCCTCCACTAGGTGAGTGTTGGCTGAAAAAGGCTTATCATCTGCAGACACGACCTCAGCCTTGCCACCATTCCAGAAAATCAGTTTCTGGTGAAGTGAAGAAGGGACACACCAACTTGAATGAATCCAATCCCGCCCCAAAAGTGCATTATAAGTAGCAACAGTATCCACCACAAAAAACGCAGACATCAGTGTCCTATTTCCCACTGTTAATTCAACAGGCAGCACACCCCTTGAATGATTCACCCCTCTTGTAAAATCACTAATTGTAACCTCAGTATGCACTAAATCATCAAGAGACTTGCCTATTTTATAGAGCATGCAAGTTGGAATGACATTGATTGCAGCTCCATTATCCACCAAGACACGGCTGATTGGAGTCCCATCCATGTGAGCATTGATATAAAGTGGCCTAATGTGTTTGGCCATCTTTTCTTCTGGTTTTTCAAACACAATTTTGTCAGCCATGTCCTCCTCTTCATCATCCTGAGCTGGAACAACAATTACCTCTTCTTCTGTCTGTTCTGGGAACTCACAGACGATTGGTTCCTCCTCCTTCTTGGCTTGGAAAACCAAGGGTAATGTCAACACCAGACATGACAAATTCACTGAAAATTCCCCAAAATGAATAGTGCCATTTTCTTTTGATTCAGCTCCACGATTCCCAAACTGTTCTTGTGCTTCAAAAGTTGCTTTCAAAACTCCGTCTGGACTCACAATGACAGACGCCACCTTTGAAGAGGCTGAAGATTGGTCATCTTCCTTCTGTAGAGTCTGGGTTACAACCTCCTTTTTCTCTTTTCTCACCCAGACCATATTCCTTTTGGTAGGTTGGCGTGGTCTGTGAGATGAACTTCCTTCAGCCTCCACCTGCTTCTGGTGTCTTTTTCGCTCTTCAGCCCTCTTACGCTGCAGTCTGCGCCTCAAGGTTCTGGGATTTTGGGCTGGAAACTTGGGATGACTGATTTTCTCCCACCGTCTAGAAGGTGACCTGAGTGGCGGTTTGACCATCCTTGGAGATCTAGTACCAGTTGAATAACGTCTGGCACCTTCTGGACCGAAGTTCCTAGTCACAGTGATCCTTTCTTGCCCCCCGAGCCTTTGTTGGTCTGACCTAATGCTCCTGCTATGTCTGGATCTCTGTGCCTCAAGAAACCACCTCAAATCCTCTGCAGCAAGGTTTCTTTGAGCATAAGGCAGACTACGATTTCTGGCAACACTCCTGAGGTCTGCAATATTCACGCCAACAGACACAGTTGGAAAAGGGTCTGCATCTACTCCCATGGCCTCTTTTGCTTTATCTGGAAATCTCAAGATACCCTTATCAATCTTTTCCAATGGCCTCAAGGCTGGCCCATGGTCTCTATTGAAGAATTGAACTGGTTGATTCTGCAGACCACGCCGTACTGGCTGAGCTGGAGGAACTTGTGGCTGGAAAAAGTCCCTTGGACAAGGTTGATGATGAGGACCCACATTTCCCTTCCTAGTTGGCAGAATATACTTATGCTGAGGTTGATGACCATGGTCTGCAACAGGAGTAGTAGCCTCCATCAATTGGTGTTGTCTTTGCTCTTCACCAATGACAAAGTGCTGCTGTTGAATATTGGGATGAGGCTGATTCCCTTGCCCCCCGAGTGCTGGGATTGGGGCTTCCTGAATCTGTCTGGGCATTTCAACGACTGGAAGAAGGATCTCAGGTCTGGGCTGTTGCACTGGCTCAACCACTTGTTTTGAAACAGCCTGCAGTATTCTACGACTTTTTTCCCCAGTTTCTCGCATCACCCTAGTGCCTTCTTCAAAGACCCGTATCATCTCTTCCATACATTGTCTGATTATCTCTTCCTGACGTCTGGCAAACTCTGCTTGACTCTCAACAAGTCTCTGCATAGTCTGGTTCTTTTCTTTGAATGCTATATCCAGACGATCCATCATATCTCTAAACATATTACTTGACTTAGCAAAGTCAGCCCCACGGTCTGCCTCTTTCTCTTTAAATACTGGATTCTCATAGGACCGTTCTGCCAAAGGTGACACTGGGAGAAAAGTAATGGGATCATTTTCACCCTCAAAGTGGAGTGGACTGTCATTTGCATGTTCAACCTGGGCTGGCTGAAGCTCTTTATCTTTACTCTTTCTCAGTGGCATGGCTGCAGACGCCTCTGAATGTATGAACAGAGGATTTGTGAACTGTAAGTGATGCATCTTGCTGGTTGTCCCACTGGGCGTGCCAACAAAGGATTGTTTCCTCAAAAAATCCTCAGCCGGCCTTTACCAACTGAGTTGGATGTTAGGCATGCCACTTGCTTTGTCTAAAAACAAGAAAGTAGGATTTTCCAGACGACCCTTCTTCTTTCTAGCGGTCGACCTCCAATAGGATGGCTGGAAAGAACGTCTGTGAAATGAATTGCGCCCCAGACGATGTAGCAAAACAGAGGGTAGAGCTCTGCAAAATGGGTTACTAATTGCCTTGGAAACCTCCAAGGACTTCACAACCAAACAAGTGTAATAAAAGCTACAAATCCTAAAATAAATGCAATATCCTAAAGCAATTAAACTAACATGAAATAAATGACAGAAAATAACATGCCATAAAGATTAAATTCACAGACAACAAAAAAAGTAAAATAACAGACAATGATTTCAACTACGCAGCCCATAATGATAACTAAAACTGAAGAAGAAACTATGAAATTATTAACGTCTGGAAACTTATAAACTTAAATCTGGAAATTGAAATGAAACAAATTGCATGTTTGGATATTATGCAGAAACAAAAGAACAAAGGTAGAAACTGTTCATCCTATTTACATGAACATATAATATAACTAAATCCATAAAAGGAAGAAGAACTAACCGGATCAAAAGGGCAGACCTGTTTTGAAGGCTAAGTTGCTTCCAAATGTTTAAAAACTAATTTAAATTGGAATTTGTGAGAGAAAATATGATGAACAAACCTAGGCTAAGGCTATGAACTAATCTGGAAAATCTGGGAAATCTGGGAACTATTGCTGAAATCTGGAAAATGCAGTCTGAAAGTTGAAAAACATGCTCTGGGCAGTCTATGTGTGTGTTGGGCAGGCCTGTAACTGATCTCTCCTCTCTGTTTTTGTTCCCTTCGATGCTGGTAACTTCCTTCATGATCTTCTCCATGATCTTCGGTACTGTTCCTCCATTTTCGGCACTGTTCCTCCATGATCTGGTAATGGGATTGCAGGTCTGGCAGTTACTTAATAGTTATCCAACTTTTATTTAACCTTATCTCCAACAACCTTAAAGATAACTACCTAAAAATCCTCAATTTCCCATTTTAAATCAAACTTAAACTACCAGATCCAATCTTAT